AAAAAAAAAGATAAAACAAAGAACTGCAGAGCTGAAAATCTGAAACAAAATTAAATTGCTGGAGAAACTCAGCTGGTGTGGCAGTGTCTGTAGAGAAAAAGCAGTGTCAACATTTTGAGTCCAGTGATCCTTAATCAGAACACTGAATGAAGGCTGACTCTGCTTTTCTTCCACGCACACACTGCCAGATCTGAGTTTCTCCAACAATTTAATTTTGTTTCAGATTTCCAGCATCTGCAGTTCTCCAGCAATTTGTTCTTGTTGAAAAGCAGGAGAGTTCTCCTGGATTTTCTGGCTAACATTTATCACGGTACCATCGTGCAAACCAGATAGTCACATTTATTTCATTGCATGGGCTGTGCACAATTTACAATTCCTCACAAATCAGTAATTACTGCACTTTGTAAGTCTTGCACCAATTATGTTGTGCATTGGCATGGTCAAATTTGGAGTGGTGTGCAGTTTTAGTCTCCTTACCAAAGGAAGGACAGCGATGTGTTCTCTTGACAAGTCTGGTTCACGAGACTCGTTCTTAGGGTGAGGAAATCTCCTATGAAGACAGATTGAGTAGACTTGGCCTAAACTGCCTGGATTTTTAGAAGACTAAATGGTGATCTAAATCATAGTGCCTGTGATACTTAATTGGCTTAACAGGGTAGATGTTGAGTAAATGTTTCCCTAATAGGGGAGTCTAGGGTAGAGTGTTACCGTTTCAGAATAAAGTTGTGAAATGTGGGAATTCTCTATTCCCCAATTCAGTGGATGCTCAATTAAATATATTCGTGATCAAAGTTGTCCGATTTTTGGGTATCGAGTGAACTGAGATCTATGGGGATAATGGGAAGATGGAGTTTGAGGTATAAGATCATTCATGGTCTTGTTGAATGATGAGCAGGCTTGAAGGACAAATGACCTACAGTAGCTCCTGTTTCTTATTTTTTAATTCATGTGATTTTCTGTGTGACTTCCAGTAAACTTGTTGGAAAACCTATTTGAACATATAATACGGTTATGATTTGCATTTCACTTGTCCCTAATTGTTGTGCTGCTCAGCATCTGTTCAGTATAGATATTTATACACTCACCAGTAAAAATCACTCATCAACCAGTGGTTAAAAAGAATCTTTTTCCTTCAAATATTATTATTAAATTATTACTGAGGAAGGATGTTGATGTGAGAAGCTGGTGTTTGTGAATTAAAGTACATACTGTTTAGACAGTACCAATTTAATATTTTCAATTAAAATGCTAAATAGAACATGCCTGAAAGAGAGAGTTTGTGTTTTAAAAACATGTCTTCCATGTTTAGAGGATGTGAACAGCATATCAGTAGAACTACCACTTTAAACCAGAAATGCACTGGTTCTGAGGAAGGGCCACCAGACCCGAAACGTTAACTCTGTTTTTTCCTTCACAGATGCTGCC